AATTTTGGCATGGTTTCAGATCGGGAGAGTTTCTAGGGTTTATTATATGCAGGTTTTCAGTTCTAGGAGTAAAGGTACTCGAACTGTCCTTATTGATGCCCCCTTGGGCTGTCAAACCCTCAATCCTAGTCCATTACAGACTTAAGCGGATCGAGTTCAATTCGAGGGGACACATTTCTTTATGACTGACACGGAGAATAAATTCTCACGAAGACATAGAGCATATGAACCCCGAAAGTTACTTGCTAGGTCTGACACGGAGAATAAATTCTCACGAAGACGTCGCTTTCACTCCCACTTAAAAGGGACAAACTCAATTATAGAGCTTTATGTTATGCAATGCAAGTGTTGTGTGTGAGGAGAAATGTTCAAACCTCTAACAAATAAATAATAAAATTTAATATTTGAAAATAAAGCATTAAATAACATATAAATATTATGAAAATAATAAGTATATATATAAAAATTTTGAAAAGAAAGAATTAAAAATTAAATATATGAATTTTAATTTTCTAATTGATAGAGGCAATTAATAATTGGTTTTAAAGATTGACCAGGTCCCCAGCGGAGTCGCCAAGCTGTCGTAACCGTTTTTCGTCCGGGCACGAAATTTTAAATTTGGCGGGAAAATTGGTGTGAATAAATGGTTTTGAAAATAATTTGGGAGTCGCCATCAGCCTTTTGGGTCAGGTAGGTCGAATACCTAAAAATTATTTTTTAAAAGAGTTTTAAGAAAACACCAATAAAAAATGAACTGATCTGCGTTTATAACCAAAAATTCGTTCTTTTTAATAATAAAAGGGATTCGTGGTCGATTACGTTTAGGGAAGGATTAGCACCCCTACAACGCCCAAAATTGGTACTTTTTTAATTATAAATTGTCTCTAATAATAAAAATTTAAAAATTCAAATATATATTTAATTTATAATCCTATTATTTCAAAATTATATAAAAAAAATATTTAAAAATATCGGAAAAGGACTTCTAGGTGCCTTAAGACAGCTCTTTTCTTTGATATTGATAAATATTAATCTGAATAAAAATAATAATTTTTTTTATAATATTTAATTTTAAAATACCAGAATAGGACATCCAGTTGTATTAAGACTGCCCTTTTCTTCGATATTGAAGAATGTTAAAAATAATTTATTTAAAAAAATAAATATGTATTTATTATATATATATTTATGACTACATAATAATAATAAAAATATTTAGACAAGTAAAATTACAATAATAAATACAATTAGAAATATGTATTTAAAAGCAATAAAAGAAATAAAAAAACATTTAAAATAAGTGACTAATTTATAGTAAAATTAAAATTAAAAACCTAATTCATAATTAATCAAAATTATAGTGATTAAACATGCTATTTTCTTATTTTATTAATTTAGTGACTAAAATAAAATTATATAAAATTCGGATATCAGATTAAAATAAATTAAAAATATAAACTTGGGATTAAAATATTAATTATTAAAATTAACGGACTAAATCTGTTATTTACCCTAAATATATTATTTTAATATAAAGGACTAAAATAAATAAAATTAAAATTAAAGATCTGAATTAAAAGGATTATAAATTCAATTTAGTGACTAAAATGTAAAGATTACAAGTTAGGATGGTTGCGGAAAGGGTTTAACCTTTACCAAATTACACAAGTACCCCTCATCAAAACGGCGCCGTTTTGATGAGGGTATTAATACCCAAACGGCCGGCCTCCCTTGGGCTATTGTTTCATTTGTCTAGTTTTGCTTCTCTCTCTACAGAGAGAGAAGCTCTCATTTTCCTTCACCGGAGAAGAGAACCAGTCTCCGTTTCTGGCGACGATCGCCGCCGCCGGCCACTGTTAACGGTGGCCGGAAATTACAAAACCCACACCAAATCGAAGCCCATTTTTTTCTATACCCGAATCTAAGGTTGTTTTAGCTTAAAACCTTACCAATCGTCGTAGATCTAGGATAATTCTCTTCGACGTTTCGGTTCTCCGGTGGCTCGTAGAGGCTCCTCTTTGGTAAGTTGCTTTCCCGTTTCTTCTTTATTTCTTTTCTGGTTGTTGTTGTGATTGTTTTGCTCTCTTTCGTTTGTTTTCTTTGGTTGTTATCGCCTCTGTTTCTTGCCGTGGCGTTTTGTTGTGTGTCCTTTTCTTCTTGCAGGTAACGGTGGCTTTTATAGCCACCTTGGTGCTCCTCTTCGAACTGGTTAAAGAATGTAAGCCTCGGTGAGTCACCAAAGCTAGGCTGGTGACTCACCGTAGGGATGGTCGTGGGATGCCATCTGGTGTTCTGGAATTCTCGTTTGGTGTCGTGGCAACGATGGAGCAGAGTGGAGGTTTCTGGCGAGGCGGCTGGAAGCTAGGGTTTGGGCCGGTTTGTAATTATTATTATTATATTATTTTTTTATAATAATAATAATATATATAATAATATATATAATAATTATAATTATAATAATAATAATAATAAATAAATAAATAAAATGGGTAAAAAAATTAGTATCTTCAACGTTGAAATCGCTTGCAAGAATCCACGGAGTTTTAGGACTAATTTAAAGGTTGTTTATGTCTCTCCGCAAAGCTCGGCGTTTGCAAGAATCCACGGAGTTATAGACTGCAATAACGAGGAATGGAGGATACGGATCAAAGTTTACTTTCGAAATGATAAATTGAGTATGAGCCGCGAGAATCTCAACCGTGATCGAGGAATTCCAGTGAGCCAGATGTCCCCAAAAAGGCCAGTTGCCTCGATCCTATAAGATTTTTTGAACCCAAGTTTATCAATAATCCGGGCAGCTTTACCACCATTGATCCGGGGCTCTAGCAAAGCAACCATATCCAGCTTATGCTCTATTGTGAACTCCTTAAGCATCTTCGAAAATCTAACATCTCCACAGCTCTAACAGTTCCACGAAAATAATTTAAAATCCATAGATAATATAGGGATAGAAACTACAAAACTCAACTGGTTGCCACCAGTTAAATTGATGTTCGGGGAAGTTCTTTCAGGTTGCATCTCGAGTTGGTTGTCAATGTTTTGGAAAACCTTCTGTATAGCCTCCTATATGGACAATCTTGAGTTTGTGTTTGCTTTTAGTTTAACAGCTCTGTTACGCATAACGTAGGGTGTTGCATGACCTCTTGAGCTTGGATGTTTACGAAGAATGGCCTGAGTTCCTCTGCTACTAGAGTTGGGACCACCACCTTGGGCCTCCTTATTAAAAGCCTCCGCCGCTTTGAAGAGTTCAGGGAAGTAGCCACATGTATGCCATGAACACCTATGGAGTTTTCGAACATTGGGTTAGTGTTGGACAGAGAACTAGTACCGTTAACCTTGATCACTTTGGCATTTCTAGCAAATTATGTTTGCATGGCAAGCTGTTGAGGACCAGCTTTGCATGGAGTTACGTCCTGCATGGGAAACTCTAAATGTCTCTATAATTCAATTCACTTCATTTTTATAAAATTGAATTAAATAAATATTATAAAGACTTATAAAAACTAAAATTTAAAAGTTATAAAATTAAAATTTATATATAAATTATCATAAAATATATAATTAAAAAATATTATAAAAATAACTATACAATTAAAAAGAGCATTTTAGTGAACACAACATGATTTAGAAAAATAAAATTCACTAAATATGAAAACTGCTAAATAAAATAAAATTAAAATTAAAATTCGTCTCTAAATTGAATGAATCATTTAAAAATAACATTTTCAATCACTCTAGTTAATATATATTTTTAATTTTTTAATATTTTTATAGTTAGTTTTTTTCTATATTTGTACGATTTAAATTAAAAATAAAATTTAAAATATTTTTCTGAAAAAATCAAATAAGCCTTTGTTTTTTTTAAAAACAATTTGACCCTTGAACTCAATAAAAAAAATCAAATTAGCTCATCTGTCATATCGTAGCTTACCTTAGATTGTCACATCAATACCGTGAAGTACCATGTCAGCACCGCAATGATCAACGATGGAATTCGTTTGTCAAAAGACCACATTAGATTTGTTTTTCTAAATTTGAGGGCCACACTGAATGTAAAAAATATGAGTACCACGTTGATTTTTTTAAAAGTACAATGAACTCACGCACCCTCTTACATTTTATTTAAAATTATCAAAACAATAAATCAACCAGCAATAGTAGACACTCATTTTAGCTCATCAAATATAGTATCTAGAAAACTTTTGATAATTTTTACTTAAAAAAATCATCAATAAATTAAAATAAATAATTCTAAGAACTTATTTAAAAGATTTAACAAAAGAAAATAATTAAGTCTATCTGTCACATGATCAATCACCGTGGACTGTTACGTCATCATCATGAACTATCCATTAGTATCGTATCGATGAAAATCATTAGTCAAAATACAACATTAGATTTTTTTTTTTCGAGTTTAAAGATCACATTGAACGTAAAAGTAATTCGAGGACTACATTGATTTTCTCATAAAAATTTGAGGGTCTCAAATACTGTTAAGCCATTTTAATAATTGCATTGTATGATTCTATCTTTAATTATCTATAGATTAATTTTTGCTCTTTTGATAATTAAAAAAATGCTATTACTCGATTCTCGAAATAGAAGATAACCCTTGCCCAGCTGACATGTATATCAAGGGATGGAGAAAAAAATATAAGGCATGTTCGATTCGTAACTCAATTTACAACTAATGTATTAAAAACGAACTCATGTTAATTACGTTCTACAAAATCAGAATAATTCCAAAAATGAGGTCAAGAGAAAAGAAATATTCGAAAGGACATGAAATCTGCCCCTTGAAGAGTTTAAAATTGTTGATCGGTGATATACTAATTATTCCATTATTAAACTAAACATTGATTTGTAATATATTAATTAGTATATTCTTGAACTAAACATTGATTTATAATATATTAATCACCAAATGCTTTGATCGTCACTAAAAGCAACAGCCACAGCCGGCACAGCTAACGCCACCAGCTAATTCAAAGGCCGGCCTTCACCTCTATTTAATTCTTCTTCTCATAATTCCATTGAACAAATTTGAATATAAATTTTAATTTTTGATGGTTACTTCTTCAGCAAGGTTAGCTGTTCATTAAAAGTTCGATTTTGATTGTGTTTTAAGAAAAGATGGCTGGGAACTATAGATTTGCCATGGATCAAAAGGATATTGTAAGGACACTGATTACAACTGTGGGAAGTTTCACTCAAGATCGGTTGATCGACAAAGAACAAAGGGTCCAACACAAAGAACAGTGTGCTGAGAGATTAGCTGCCGAAGATGGAAGCTCGGGAAACGATTCCGAGGTTCGATATTCTGATCAAGCCGTGCTTGCAAATCTCGACTGGGGAATCGATGCCCTTGAAGAAGCTATCAATACATCGAATATTGAAACTAAGCATGCCAGGTTAGATTATGCTGAGAAGATGCTTCATGTGTGTGCTATGTTGACTTCGGATCAGAAAACTGCTGGTGTCCCTAATCCTTACCTATCTGCATGGGCTTATTTGAACCTTTCGTACCTATGGAAACTGCGGAACGATGTCCATAACTCGGTTCTTCATGTTCTCGAGATGTTTATAGTCGAACCCTTTTTTTCGAGGATTGATTTCGCTCCCGAACTTTGGAAAAAACTGTTCCTCCCACACATGAGCTCAATTGCAGGGTGGTATGCAGAGGCTAGGCATAGGCTTATGATGGAAGTAGTCCCTGATTCTTCTGATATGTCTTTTACAGCTGATTTGGATCAATTCTTCAAGGAGTCTTTGGTTTTCTCGATGAGGCCGGATCAAATGAATAAATTGAAGAAACTCGAGCAACTTTATAGCGAATCATTAGACGAGAATACACGATTGTTTGCCAAGTACTACAAAGATTGTATGAATTCTGATTTGAGTCCGGGTGCTAGCAAGAAAGTTATGGCTCCTATGTTACCGATTGCTGAGCCACCAATGACTCCTCTACACGAGGTGAGCCGGTCGATCCCGGATTATGTAAAATTCGGTCCTATACTACCTAAAAGCGCAGGATTTTCCCCGGTTCTCAAATCTAAACATTGTGGAAGAGAAGGAAACAACAGGTTAGCTTCAATTACAAGTAAAATACTGGGTGACTTTGTTTTTCAATTAACTTCTTACCATGTTCATTTGCACATTTGGTTATGGCAGAGTGAGTTTAAATTCTTCAGCTTTTCTGCATGACATGAATGAATCTGCTGCATGGGATTCTCATGTAAGGCCGAAATTCGAATTGATTCAATTATTTCGTTATCGATAATTTGGAGGATTTTCTTTTAGTCATGCCTTTTCTTTTATGATCCCAGGATGGTGTACCTGAGGGAAACGAAGATGATTCAGATTATGAAGCCAATGATGGTTCCATAGGATTAACGGTTCAACAACAGGCGAAACTTAATCGAACTCGATCCCCATCGATCTTTTCACCTGCAGATTCACCTAGAACGTCTTCCTCAAAAACTTCATCCCCGAAGTCCGATGTGAACTCCAGGAAGGAATCGAGATCGTTGTTGCGTCTTCTATCATGTCGAATCGCTGCTCCAAGTGATGCTATCTCTTTGCCTATCTCACCTAGCAAGAGTAATGATCATAGCATAAGCTCAGCAGATTCGAATGGTGAAGTGATAGTATGTAACAATTCAGAAAATACCAAAAAGGAATTTTCATTTCATTTGTTTCTTAATGCATTTGAAGCTGAAATGTTTAACACCTGGAAATGTAGGAAATGCCGAAAAGCTGTAGGAAGAATGATGGTCGGCCTTTGAGTACGAGTTACGATTATGTGAACATCCGAACATCAGAAAACAGGTAAGAAACTTGCTATAATAAAGGATTTCAACATCCATTTTGTGATGTTTTTGTACTTCCTTTTGTTTCTCAGTTTTCAGAACGAAAGTGATGAAGGTAGCCTTAGCTACGTTTCGCTCCCTTTATCCGAGAAGCTGACTCCACATTCGAAAGCACTGAAAGATTTTGTCTGCCCCATCACAGGCCAGATCTTCAATGACCCTGTTACACTCGAAACAGGTCAGACTTATGAACGAAAAGCTATTGAAGAATGGCTTAACCGAGGGAACACCTGTCCGATTACTCGGCAACCGCTCTCTTCGAACGTACTGCCTAAGACAAACTATGTTTTGAAGAGGCTAATAACATCTTGGAAAGAGCAGCATCCTGAACTTGCTCAGGAGCTTTTATATTCCGAAACACCAAAGGCTAAATTCAGCTCCCCCTTAGGGAAAGAAATTGTATTGGTGTCCCCATCGAACCAAACATCTGAGTTCTCGAACTTCAAGGCCATGGATGATCATGTAACACAAAGGGGTAAAAGGTTCACACGACCGGTGGTAGCCACATCGCCGACCAGTGTGATATCACAGGCAGCAGTTGAGATGATCATCAACGAATTAAAACCTTTTGTGTCATGTCTATGTACTTCAAACAACCTAGAAGAATGTGAATCAGCAGTGCTTGAAATTGCTAGACTATGGAAGGACTCAAAGGGTGATGCTGCAGTTCATTCTTATTTATCGAAACCAACAATCGTTAACGGATTTATGGAAATACTATCAGCTTCTCTTGATAGAGAAGTTCTTAGGACCTCGATTTACATCCTTTCTGAGCTACTTTTCGGGGATGAGAACATTGGGGAGACATTAACAAGTGTAGATTCAGACTTTGATTGTCTCGCTGCTTTACTCAAGAATGGCCTAGCAGAGGCTGCAGTTGTTATGTACCAATTGAGACCGTCATTTGCTCAGCTTTCGTCTCACGACCTCGTCCATTCCCTTATGCAGATCATACTATGCAAAAACGAAGAATCAGTTGACCTTTTGTTGATGATCAAACCCAAGGACGCCGCTATAGCGATGCTCGAACAAATATTGATGAGAGGAGACGAAAACAGCCGGTCCTTAAATGCCTTGACCGTTGTTTCGTCGAATGGAATTGCTTCCCTGGTGAAGTGCCTGCATAGGATTGAAGGAAGGAGGTCTGTTATTTCCATACTTTTATGTTGTATGAGGGCAGATAAAAGCTGCAAGAATCTGATAGCAAACGGAATCGAACTATCATATGTTCTCGAGCTATTTCACACCGGCAACGATAGTATACGAGGCATATGCGTAGACTTTCTCTCCGAATTGGTTCAGCTGAATAGGTATGAACTTTTCACATTACTGTCACTCCATATCAGACCGAATTTCAATGTCGAAATCATATTTCTTCATTTCTTATAGGAGAACGCTCTGCAATCAGATGTTACAAATAATTAAAACCGAAGGAGCTTTTAGCACCATGCATACTTTTCTTGTGTATCTTCAAATGGCTCCCATGGAACAACAACCTGCCACTGCCGCTCTTCTTTTGCAACTTGACCTCCTGGTTCGTTTTTAAAAAAAAATTATCTCGAAAAAATTGTTCATGTACACTTATAGTAGTTGTAACACATGCATGAAATTTTCCAGGTCGAGCCACGGAAGATGAGCATTTATCGGGAAGAAGCTATAGAGGCATTGATCGAAGCACTCCAAAAAAAGGAGTTTCCGAATCAACAAATGATGGTTCTCGATGCATTGCTATCACTTCCTGGCCGCATTACTTCCTCAGGGGAGTCCTATATTGAATCATGGCTACTCAAGGTTTCAGGGTTCGATCACCCTTACAATGCTTTAGTGAAGGCAGACTGGACTGAAACAACGGTAGGCATTAATTTCCAAAACGTATTATTTTTAAAAAATTCTCAGGAATTTGGGTCGATCTAGAATCATACTGTTTATTGCAGGAAGGGGAAGAGAAAGCTGTGTGTTCATGGGAGAAAAGAGTGGCATTTTCCCTTTGCAACCATGAAAAGGGTTGTATTTTCAAAGCATTGGAGGAATGCTTCAAAAACAATTCCTTAAAAATGGCGAAATCATGCCTTGTGATTGCTACATGGCTCACTTACATGCTTTCGACACTCCCCGATACCGGAGTACGAGAGGCTGCTCGCGAATCGTTGCTTGACGAATTCATAAATGTCCTACAATCATCTAAGAACTTGGAGGAGAAGATATTGGCGGTCCTTGCTTTGAAAACCTTCATTAATGATCCAAGTAAGTGACTTCACAATTGCAGTATCATTTTCATCTCCATATCAAATGATTATTAACTTCGAATTGTCGTATTCTTAGCTGCCATTGAAGAACTGGGAAAGTATGCTAAATGCATATACAAAACTTTGAGAAAGCTCAAGAGGAATTCATTTGTGGCAAACGAAATACTAAAAGCTTTAATGAATTTATCATCTGTCAATGCAGTAAGTTCATAGCTATTCAGTTCCTTAATCATAAATACTAGAACACGTCAGATAACTGATTGAACATTACATATTCGGCTTATAGACAGAAATGTGGAGCTGTATCGATGTCGTCGAGTTAGATTTGAGCACCAATGGCGAGGTACTATGTATGGTTTATTTTAAGGGTTGTTTGATAAGCAGTCATTCAGATGGAACCATAAAGGTTTGAGCTTAATTCACTTGATTCACTCAAACGAACATGCTTACATTAACTCGACTCTTCCTATAACCAAAGTTAATTTCCGTTCCCGATAGGTTTGGGATGCTGGGAGAAGACGGTTAAGGCTGGTTCAAGAAGCTCATCATCACATCAAAGCTGTTACATGTTTGTATGTTCCATCTTCAGGTGACAGATTATATAGTGGTTCCTTGGACAAAACGATTCGGGTAAACAATCTCATGTCCGATCCAATATCGGTATCTTTGAGCCTCTTGATTGAAACATCACAAGCTTTTTATTTGCAGGTATGGGAATTGAAACCAGAAGAAATACAGTGTGTTCAAGTTCATGATGTGAAAGAGGCTGTGCATGAATTTGCAGCAAATTCTAAATTTGCGTGCTTTATTTCTCAAGGAAATGGAATTAAGGTATGGACCTTTGGCCTTTGTGATTAAAATTAATGCAGAACAAGTAGTTTAGTTCATTAAAAAATGGACTTGTTCGTAGGTTTATAATTGGTCAGGGACTCCAAAGCATATAAATTTCAATAAAAGTGTGAAGTGCTTAGCCATGACCGGAAATAAGCTATATTGTGGTTGCTCTGGATACAACATACAGGTTAAAACCCTTTTCCAACACTTCCTCAATTGAAGTACTCATCTATAGTATTCTTGTTCCATATATTTCAAGGGTCAACTACGTATTTGATCACCCAACTATTCGAGTGGTTCTGTTTAGGTCACTCAGTTACCTTTTTCTAAATTACTATGTTTTGATTTTATTTTGGATACTCGCTGTTAAAAAAACAACAGTGATTCTATTGATGTGTCATCTTAAGTAATGTCATGTCATCATTGATATTTTTTTAAATGTCACATCAACAATTCTGTTAATTTTTTAACATGTTTCCAAAATGAAACCAAAACATAACATTAAGTATAATTTAAAAAAATAGTTGATGACCAAAACAGAAATAATGGAATGATTAAATACGTAATTTATCCTATTTTAAAAGAACCCTTTAAAAACAACCCAAATACATAAAATGTTGAATAATCAGGCTGAAATAAGAAAAATTATGGCAGGAGCTGGACTTGTGCAGTGGTACAGTGAGCACATTCTATATAGGAACAAGAAAATTGCTGGGAAAACAAACAGTAAATTCTCTAAACATACATGATGATCTTCTCTTTGCTGGTGGTTCTGCTGTTGACGGAATTTCAGGAAAGGTAATATAGACATACATACATATATATATATATAAATTATATACAAGTGAAGTATGTTAAATGTTAGTGAGCTAAATCTGGATGTATGAATGGAAGGTATTCTGTCGAAGCAGCAAGGCAGTAATGGGAACATTTCCGACGGGATCCGACATCCAAAGAATTGCAGTGAACAATGACTTCATATTTACAGCCACAAAACTTGGGATCATTGAGGTTTGGTTGAAAGAAAGAATGAGCAGAGTCGGTTCCATTAAAATGAAGGGTAAGGCACATGTAAAGATTACATCCTTGGTTTCAGACATTGATGGCGGAATGCTTTATACTGCATCCTCTGATGGAAAAATCCAGGTCAGTATGTAGCTATGTTTATGTATCGATAGAAAATACAAAATCAATATATGAATTATATTAAAATTTAAAATTTTCAAGGCAATAATCGCTCGCTCGCTCACTCCCTCTTTTGGTTTTGGGTTTTTGATTACAGGTTTGGGCTCTGGACTAAATTGGGTTCCAATTTGTAATTATCTATCGTGTTATGCGACTGTTATAATTAATAAAATATTACTTCAGTTGAGTAGGTATTTGGTAATAAGGTTTTTATTTAATCTTCTTAAAGACATATTGACAACCGAGTTTTGATTTCTAACTGCCTAGTAATTGTATAATTACACCTCCTTTGATATCTCTCCCATCCCTGCAACTCCATCATTATCATTTTGATCCACTTTTGTGACCGGCATTTCCTCCACTTGACTCGTATTGTGCTGTTGCATTACCAACACCGATGACAGCACATGGCGATTAGACGAGGCTAACAAGTCCCCAACAGGGCCTAATTCAGCATGCTCGGCTTGCCGGTCCGCCAATTTCGCCACCGTAGGCGACGGGAACCTTCCTTTTCCGACCACTATAAGATCATATTCCCCACTTTGTCCCAATCCCAACACTTGTTCAACAACGTTGCTACCTGTCTTTTCTACATACTCCACCGTACCATCCCACTTGCTTCTAAATTCTGCCACTACAGCGTCATCCGATTCCTTTTCTTTTTCAGTGGTGATAGAGGCAGTGGAGAAGCTGTAATTCTTTTCAGTGCTCTTGCTGGCTGATGGCCTAAAAATCAGGCCATCTCTTTGTATTTCTTCCGTCTCAACGAACCGCACAACGTCAACTTTGACTGCAGGGTGTTCAGCCATTCTACCGCCCAACTCCAAAGCCTCCCGATCATCCTGTCCGCCGAAGAACAATATGCAGACCCTTTGGGCTCCCTTATCAAACCCTCGGTCCACGAGCACCGCCACAGAACATGGTGGACTTTTTAGCACCCGTTGGTTAACCAATCTCCAGCCATGACCTACATTGTCTATTGTTTGATGGTCACCCTCTCCCCTCCATTGTTTGTGGAATGGTAAGATGATCATCGTCACCCTTTTGGTCTCTGCCATATGGCAAATATCCTCATGGATGGTGGATAATGTGGAGATGGCTGTGCTGGGCCAAACCAAGACTTGGCCCAATTGACTATAGGCTTGGAAAGCTCCGGTGACTCGGTCTTGCCAGCCTCCTTTACGGATCCTGTTAATGAATGGAAGCCCATTTTTTCGAGCCCGATGGACCATTATGATTGATGAAGAGCGTTCGGTCAGTTCCACGAGGTGCATTATAAAAAGCTTAAGTTGGGATTTCTTGGTGCTTCTTGTTGACTCTATTAGGTTGATGATTGAAGGTACATTACCGGTGCCATGGAGGCAGGCCAGGATCCTAAGCTGGTCTTTCGACTCGTCAGTGTTGGTCAAGTCGCGGAGTTTTCGGCGAGCAAGGGCGGAGGAACCTCGGGCCGGCTTGTAGATGGCCATAACGGTTGGGGTTGTGATGAAGGTAGTGAAGAGTGCCATGAGAACCAATATAGCAAAAATCTCATCGTTGAGCACCTGCAAACATAAAAAAAGAATTAAACTATATATTTAGTTTATATCACTTCAAAACACGATAAATTTATGTTTTAATATTCGGTTTTATTGTTATTTATACTTATTTGATTTAAAACTAAATGTAAAGATTAAATTGCCAACAAATTTACAAGTGAACTTAAAGTAAACGATCTAACTTTTATTCTCGTGTGACAGACTTCAACATCCTAATACCACTTGGGTTGAAATTTCAGCTCTTTCACAAACAAGTACGACTCATACAAAACTAAAAGTAATAATGTCCAAATTAACCCCACAACATTTATTAAAATATCATCTCGACTCATATTAATTTTTGGAGAATTTTAATCCTCAATATTTTATTTTAGCAAAAAAATAATGTTAACATTTAGTTGAATAGTCACTTTGATCCATTTTCTTATCTCATACATTTTAACCCTAAATATTTCCTTTAAGGATAAAAATCATTTATTTTGAAGTGTTAAAAATTTATTAATTGATGGTTTTTATTTATAAAGAGATTTTTTTACCCTGTTAAAAGTAAAATGTTAAGAAAGAACCAAATGAGTCAAAGTGAGCGTAAGAGGTGTTTTTTAATTTTATGCCAAACTAATATATAGACACGTGTGTGTGTGCGGAAGGGATGAAATGGTCTTTTGAGCCTTGAATTAACCAATTTGTATAGGTATCATCAAATAATGTAATCAAAAATCAATGTTAATGCACATTAATTATTAGCAAAACCAAAACCAAAATGAGTTAATAAATCTAATAAAATAATATTCAATGTATGAACGATATATGACTCAATATATAGTTAGTGAATAAAATAATAATATGCTATTAAAATTATTTTATAAAAAATAGTATGATTTTTGTCTGTTATACTATTAATATTCAAGATTATTGTTTCAAACAATGTATCTTAAAAAAATTAAACTCGAGTTTCTCTAAAAGTGTTATACACTTAACTATTGATAATTTATAAATTATACGATGATACTGTTAACTTAGTTAATAAATTAAATATTAATTATAAAAAAATATAATAGAAGGGAAAACATACCTTTTTCTCCTTGCCAATGTTGAGAACAATAAGTTCAACCAATCCTTTAGTGTTCATTAAAACACCAAGCACCAACGACTCTTTGAAACCCATTCTGAACATCAACGCCACCGCAAACGTCCCTATAATCTTGCCTGCGCACGCCGTCGATATTACCAGCGCCAACAGTCCCCAAGCTTTCCCGCCTTTGATTTTCGCCACATCGGTTTTCAACCCACTGGACGCGAAGTAAAGCGGAAGAAGCAATCCCGACACGAAATCTTCGATCCTCTCTATCAACTTCTCAGCAAAATCCCCTTCTTTGGGTATCGTTAATCCAAAGATGAAAGCACCGAAGATTGCATGGATTCCGATAAGGTCGGTCATGAAACCGGACACCATTACACCGGCTAAAGTTAAGCAAATATAGGCCTCGTCGATGACGTCTCGCTCCGGGGAGCAACGGTGAGCCACCCATTTCATGGCGGGTCGGATTAATACCAGCATGAAAATGACGAAAGCGACGCCGGACAGAAGGACCCAGATTGATATCAAGGGGCTTTTTGGTTGACCGGAGTCATTTCCGGCGAGTGCGACGGCGAGTGCTAGTAAAATCCAGGCGGCGACGTCGTTGAATGCGGCTGAGGCCATGGCGACTTCCCCCACTTGGGTGGTTAACAGTTTGAGCTCGGCTAAGATTCGTGCCAGGACGGGGAAAGCGGTGATGGAGAGTGCCACTCCCATGAAGACTAGGAACTGACCGTACCCGACTTTATCGGCGCCGTCGACGGTTTTCCTGAGGACAAACGCTACGCCAATGCCGCAGATGAAAGGCAGGGAGATACCGCAAAACGCTATTCCAAACGCCTTACTGCCGCTTCGACGAATAGAGTTTAAATCGAGCTCGAGTCCGACGAGGAAAAGGAAGAAAAGGAGACCAATGCTGGCCACCGTTTCAAGCCCCGGCATACTCCAAGCCGGAAATATTCGGAGCATGTAACCTTTGTTCCGACCAAAAGCAGACGGTCCAAGAAGAATCCCTCCCTGAAAATATCATAAGATTTCAACAAAGGAAGAAAGATGATTAAAGTGGTAGAAAGAGACGATTATACGTACAACAATTTCAGCAATGACTTTGGGTTGGCGGAGGGGTTTGAGAAGAAAAGCGAGGAATCGGCTAAGAACAAGTATTAAAGTGGTTTGAACTATTAGCAAAGGGAAGGCGAAATTGAGTGGATTATCACCTTGCCATGCTCCATTCGATGATGTTTTTATGGAGCTTATGTTAAAAGCCATTTTTTTTTGGAGACGATGACGGGTTGGATTGATGATTGCTCTAAATTGGTACTAATTTGTTCATCTGATTATGGAGGAAATTCGATTTGAGGAGTCAACTGAACTTGCCAAGAGTTGGAATTATAGACGATGGAGGGAGAGGGAGGTGGCAGATAAGGTTATTTTTAATTATTATTATTATTGCTTAAAGCTCAAAAAGTACCTTGGGAAAAAATAGTTTTATGTAAAATTAATTTAATTGAGTCTTTTTTTTTTGTTAGTATAAAAAGTAATTAGTCTCTTCTACTAAAAAATATGGAAACTATAAACACATAATTGCCTGAATACATGGAGCCCAATATGCCAGCTTCCTCCGCTAGAAAGCTCTTGACCTTAAAGTCAAAAGCATTACCATTCACTAATACATGACATTTGTCAAGGAAAAGTTCAAAAACACAATTCTCTTTGAATATCCCCATTAGCTGACACTAAATAACGATTCTCAATTGCAAAGCGATACAAAATAATTAAATTATATCTAAAAACAGAAAAAAAAAACCCGGCCGACGCAATAACTTTTTAATATTTTTTTATGATTTTCATAATTTTTGTAATTTTAGTTTTTTATTAATTAGTCGTTTATATAGTTTTTTTCTTTAATTTATTTAAATCTATTTTATGTTTTGTTGGTTTTCAGTTCAGAATGTATATATTTATTAATTAATGTCAAAATTGATTAATTTATAAAACTCTCAATAAAGGGGTCAAATAATTTTTTAAATTAAAAGAATTTAGTTAAATGTAATTTTTTTCATAAAGACTAATGATTATTTTATAATTTTTATTGTTGAAATTTTTTATTTATCATGGTTTTCAATTTCTAACAAATAAGAAATGATTTTTTTAAATAAAACAAAAAATACTTTTGGGAAACTAAACGGAACCTGAATAATCGGTATTTCTTAATGTTCAAGGTTGTTGTCATTTAAAATTTACCTCTCGACATTAAAATTAAATATAGAGGGTTTAAATTGGTCGTTTTTATAGTAGTGGAATTCATTTGCTTTAGGTTATATATGCTACAGGGGCCTATAACGCAATTAACCTTAAATTTATCTCTTCGCTTGCTCATCTTTATCTCCACCCATTTAAGTATTAAAGTGTTGCGATCATTGGCTGGTATAAATACGGTACCAGAATGTAAAAATTAAAAAAAAAAACTTACAAAATTCATGTCCATAGATAAACATTTAAATAATTAATTGCTAGATAACAAATCCAGGTGGACCAATAGAAAAAAGTATATTATAAGATGGTTTGGCCTTTTGAAGTTGTTTCTTATTATATTTTTTAAGGATTTGTTAATTACCTTTTAAACGTACATACATTTACTTGGTGTAAATAACCATGCATCAATTGTTGAATCATTCAAGCTTGTAGTTGATGGTAATCTTTTAAAATTGAGAAATTAAGCCTTTATAATGTAAATGTCTAAGGCACCATACCCTACAACATATTATTAAACAGCTTATCAAAACTTTACGCAAAAATTTTATTCTCTCGAAAAACCCCTTGATAAAAGAGGAAAGAGGTGTCGTCTTTAGGGATGATAATGGGTCGGGTTAGGATCGGATTAGGTTGGATTTTTGGTCAATCCAACTCGACCCAAAATATTTGTATTCTTCACTTGAACCTGACCCGAGTCAAAAAATATATATCCTTCACCCGACTTCAACCTGACCTTACATGGTATAAATTAATGATTTAATTAAAAAAGTAAAACTTTAAGGAAATTATATTATTATCCTCGGGTCGTTTAGATCGGATTTTTTTTTCACTTTCTACCCAGCCCGACCTGACCTCACCGCTCAAAAATTTAACTCGATCCGACCTTAAAAAAATCTAATCCTAATGGATTGGGTCAGATCAAAACCCGTCAGATTCGGGCTAAATTATCATCCCTAATTGTCGTCCTCAGAGGTCTTGGATTTGAGCAACTACGTTTTCAAAATATATGTGTTATCAATAGTTAAGAAATATTATAAATATATATTATCTTATAATCACTTCGTACTATTAAAAAAATTATCATCTCTCTTGTATCGTCATCACCATTGTTCTCTTTTCTAAATTTAATATTAAATCGAATATTTAAATTTGTTTTTGTAATTTATATAATTTTAACGATAAAATTAATAATAATACCAATTTATACCTATTAATAATATTATAAAAAAATTAAAATATGCCAAATCGAATGGAGATTAAATTTCACATTTCAACACAAAAGGACTAAAACAAGAATTAGAGCAAATTAAGTATTGGTGGAAGTAATGGACATATTTTCCATCGAAATCCAGAATTTTATTCCGAGACGTATCCTCTTCTGAAGTTAATACGTATGCTAAATTTCTAAGTAGTAAAAACAAAAGCTGTTGCAATCACTAATCCTAGCTTTACCAAATAACCAAACATAAAACAATAAAATAATTTTGTGCATAAAAGAAAATGTAAGAAACATTGGTAAATATTATAATATTTTCAAAGAATATAATGCACTAAATGCCAACTTTTTTGTTGCTGTTCACAGTTAATTTTTCTTGGCGTGTGCTTTCTTTACACGTCTCAATTCCTGTTATTTCCTATTGCCACCTCTTGCTTTATTTTCCAAATGATAATATCAATAAAGAAAAATTCAATGAATGGTCCTTCAACTTTAATAAATCTTTTGATAATATACTTATACTTTAAAAAGGTTCGTTTCTTGCTCATTTCGTCTACCAAGTGGCACCTATACAACCCTAACACCGTCTAATGTAAAGTAACAAAGCACGTCTCTCCAATTTTAACTTAACACGTGACTTATTTTTTTTAAAAAATTTACAATATAAATTAACATACAGCATCGTCTTATGATATCATATGATAAATAAAAATAATTATATTATTTTAAAACTAGAAAATAACATATGATATTATTGTGTGATGTCATGTCTTAAACTTATTCATAAATAAAAATATGTGATATCATGTGCGGTGCGATGTCACATATTTCGACGATAAAGTCTCACCTGTAGTATGTAGATAAATAATTGATGAAACTCAAGTTAGAGTTTATAAAAAAAAAAATAGAAGTGTGAATTCTATTAGCGTTTTAAGATTTTTTTATTACAAGGTAGTTAACTAACTGCTAAGTATTGACACATTTGATTCTTACATATAATGTCTTGTTGTTTGAATGCAACAAAAACTGAACAGTACATGCATGAACCAAATATTTTGTTTTTCCTATTTTAAGATGTGAATGCTGTTTAAAATTAAATGGATATAAAGAGTTGAGTTATAAGGTGATGATGCCCAATACACAGATTACATCTTTTATAACACGTGAAGATTAACATGATATTCATTAACATTTATTTTTCACTTTTTGCTTTGCTTGTTTTATTTGAGTATTAAATTAAACTTTGTTATATATTACCAAATAATAATAAGAATCGATAGTATTGTAAGAAAAAAGCAGCCTGGTTTGTCCCAACTTTTTCAGGCAAAAGTTGTTCATTGATAAACTAATATGAAAGCATCTTCCATTTGAAAATTATGTAATTACTTGTGTTTAAAGGTGTTTACCCTTATTTGCAAACAAAACTATGCTTTTACAGGGTGGACCATATCTATAGTCAATGGCAAGAAAAGGAAATTAATAAATGTAGTTCGAAATTAGATGAATGTAGCCAATAACAAGTTGATTATCATGTTCTTGTTCCGGATCATTAAGATCAGATAAGGATACATAATTTTATGTTAAAAGATAAAAATAGATTTTCGATTAAAAATTCAAAAAATATCTAAAATATATAAGAATTTAAAATTTTTAAGGAGATGATTGCCTTCACCTGCTCTCCCTCGGTACATCCATACAAGATAGTGAAATCCCCAAGCCATCTAATGTATTTTATCTCTTTTTTGGATAACTAATGTATTTTATCTTTTTATTATTGGATATATCTTTTAAAAATGATTGTATACTCAAACTAAAAAAATTTCAAACCCCAAATTTATGGGATTCACTCAAACTCATAAATAAATATATTTCCATTTGTTACTTAACAACTTGTAGAAGTCAATCAATGAATGAATAGCAACTTGTATTACTGAATCTTAAGGCAGGGCGTCCGTGAGTGGAAATTATGCTTAGGCAATTGCAGCTCATGATGACTGGTTGACAATCGATTTGCTTTATAATGAAAACCACATTTTTAAGCGAAAAAAGTTAACCTGCATGCACCGGCCAAGGAGATAATGAAAGGAACAAATATAATAGTTAAGTTATAATTAGATCTTTTTAACTTTCCTTAATAACTAAAACAAATCCTTTATATCTTTTATCAGTGGATTAGATATTAATTTAATTATTATCATAATATTTAACAGAATGCGAACTTAAATATGTTTGAATGTATATTATTTTTTATCTGTCTTCAAATAACGTTGATCCGTGACTCTTGAGACTTTGACTTTGTTCACGTAAATCTCTTGGCTTGTTAACAACCTTTATAGGATCGTTCTCAGGATTCCCGCCTTAGAGGGATAAAATAAGCAAATAAAAATATTGCTAATTAAATTTCGGTTATCAATTAGTAATGTGATCTAAGTACAGGACATTTTTTTTCTTTATTCATTTCGCAAATCATATTTACTCTTTTTTTTATTGGGCTAATACCCAAAGAACCCTTGTATTATAGTAAAATTTACAATTTAGCTCCTTTTCGATTCAGTTGACCATTCAACTTTCATTTTGTTATCTCGTTAATCTTTAACTATTTCTGTTAAATAATTATGATGTGACCTATTCAAGTTTTATCACGTGTAATAAGAAAATATTTTTTTTTTGAAAATTAAAAAAATTAATGAAATCATAAATCAGCTTGTTTACACCACTTAGAGAAATTAAACCTGTTATACTTAATAATAAACAAAGCTTGCGAATGAAGAGAGACGTGATCAAATACTTCAATCAG